GCTTCCCCAGAGTAGGAATTACAAATCTCATATCCCTAGATATCTAATTTCCTAGCACTGAAGCCGCAAACAAGTTTTCCATCCTGCCGAGGGGCGGTCACTTCAGACTAGGTGCAGAATTGCTCGGAACACACTGGCACTGGCCTCCTTTTGAAAAGTCTTGTATAGACCGAATCACATTCAAACGCCGCTACGACGCTGAATGGCAGTCGTATACACGGCGCATCCTAGAATGATTGCTACGTAGTTGAAGTTGAAAGAAGACTACTTCTCGTGAAGGACTGGAATATTCGAGCATGGGTTGAAGGTAATGTGGTGTGACACTACTTGGTCTTATACCTGCAGGGATATTCTATATTGGGCTGTTCTAATACCAGAGGAATACATCTCCCATCAATTTCGAAAGCCCATTTCGTTGAAGCTCTATGGGCGGAGTCGCTGGGGCAAGTCCAATCAGAGCGAAAGTAGCATTTAACCTAATTTTATCGATCGCTAATGTGCCAAAGTACACGAAAATAGTTTTGAACTTGACTGCTTAGCCAAATATAGACGGCATGTCAATGGTTTGTGTAAATATCTTTCGAAACTGGCAGAGGTCACAAAGGTATAGAAAAAAACGACATTCTCAAAAAAAAAAAACTAAAAACTACTGTAATAGTTCGCTTATTGAAGATGGAATAAAAGTATTACAGTATTCACCAACTTTCAGGTCAGACCCAGGACGATACCCTAATGATTGAGGGACGGCATGAAGATGTACGTGATCGCGATAACTTTACTAAAATGTATTTCGTACGGAAATATCAAATGCCACGCGACGTCGATCATGCACGTATATCAAGCAGCATTGATTCTCGAGTAAGTGGAACATCAGTACATCCTGCTGCTATTACGGAAAGCATTTCCGGTTTTCGGGTTCCGAATACCGCAGAGGGGTTTAAACCACCTCTATCACGACCTGGTTTCCTTCATAGTTCTGGAAGTCGACTTCTTAACCAAACTACTTGCCACCCATTTATGATACGGTCTTGTTCGCAGCGGATGATGGGCGTGTCAGTGAGGCGGGGTTTGCGCGCCCAGCCCCTTTCCAGCAATGTTTACGCAGTAAGCGACAACGACTGTCGTTCGCAATGAAAACGACTGTTTCGCAGACATATCAGTGCAGTCCTCGCTTGCTGAAGGGTAAAAGGGGCGTGCCAAACACATCCCCTGGGACGCCCCATCTTCCGCAGCGAACAAGACTCTAAAGGGATATTCTGGTCGAGCATATTTTTCTGCTCGGATCCGCAGATGTATTTTTAAATAAATCCTCGTGCAAAACCGGTATTACCATATGAGAAGGAGGACTTTTGCCAGAGCCTGGAGGAAAGGAGGCTTCAGAAGAGGGGTGAAAACAGTTTTGATATCGGCAATCCCCTTTCGGGACAACTGTAATCCCGTCCTGCCACAACAGAGTCCTTCAATAACCCCACCCATTGCCGCATACTCAACCGGAGTTCATTTCCGGAATTGCATTGTACTTGATTTCGCTCATTTTTATCTTGATTGCATTCTCAGCGAGTCGTTCCCTTTGCAGGGACGCCTTACTGTCGAAGCACCCCGTCGATTTTCTGTAACGGGCAGAGACAGGACGATTCCAATTGAAGGCAGTGGACAACGCTCACATTCGTCATCATCTCATCGCGAAAGAATGCATGAATCTTCATTTACAAGTAAGTCAAGTAAGTGTTGAAATGTATGTGAAAAGTACTGTAAACTTTCTATGTGGTGTCAGTACTAATTACCTTCATTTTTGTCCGTTGTATGTCATCCGAACTAACCCCAGGTAAACGTCGGCGGTGGTGTTGCTAACATGTGAAACATGTGGATTTGAAGGACAAACCCGATTTTAACAAGAACTGCCTATCAGCAACAAGCTTTGGAGCATCTCTTGTCACATGCCAATAGATCCACGTAGATGCTTTACGCTTGCGTTTCACAACCCAAGTCACTGGGTCATCTGGGCCAAGAATCGATTTGGCACGGGTTCAGTCGTGGACTCCGCGTCGGCGTTTCTGTGGTGGGCTTAAGGGGGTGGGATGCATTTAATGGCACACGCTGTAGACACTCGTTGCGTGAATTGAAATGATTCTGCTAGTCCTTTGATGGAATCGATTTCATGAATAAATCTACTTGTAAATGCCGGTAACACACATTTTTATTGAACCGAAAAGGAAACACATTATCCTTCTTACCTATCACTTTAATGACCTCCGGCGTGCGACGGATCTACCATGGATGCTTGTTTCCTTACAGCGATTAGGACAGATTTCGCTTGGATCAAAAAAAGGCTACCTTTTGCGTGCATATGGGAAGCTGTAGAAATGCAGTCCATATCTGAAGGCAAGAGGGGGCATAGCTGCGACCGCGGCGATGATCGTGATGGTCCAGACGGAAAGGAGGCAGGGACGCATGCAAAGAGAGGAGAGTCGGCTCGTCAATGTTCAACTGTCAGCGCCCCTTTTTACCCTCTGACAAAGACTCTATCAGGGTTTGATTCTATTGCCATGGACTTGTAGAGAGCGGGTTTGGTTCTACTGACATGGAGCTGGAGGGGAGTTTTTTTTAATGGAAACACTTGAAAATGTAAAGGATAGCTAATTAAGTGGCTTAGTATTCAAATCCTTCACAGAGCCTTATTTGGCCTTACTATGGCTTGGGAGATCGCACAGATGATCGATTCATCCCCCATAAGCAGTTCTGACGAGTTGTCTTCTCAAAATAGATGGTTTGTGGGGTTGCTAAGCAGGATGGTGGTCTCTAGCTACACCTCCCGGTTTATGGCAGCATAAAAATAATTCCTTTACGAGAATGCCCAGTATAATTGAGCCAGTTCTTTTGCTAGGTCTATCACCTTGGAGACCGTAGTATTTGGTCTATATGTCTAAACCAGACCCCTATTCTGTCTGTTATGCCGGTCTAGGACGCGTGCGGTTGCGGTGCGGTCGCCTTAATCGGCAGAACTTTGTCATGCACCAGCGAGGCGATCACAGTCTTACTAGACCGACAGAGCCATTGGCTGAGCACATACTGTTCTCTAAATTTCGTTCTTCAGATGGCTCACACTCGCCACGTGGTACCGAAGTTCCTCTTGTTCATGATAAAACAAGCGACAGTCTGCTCGTTGAAGTCTATATATCACGTGATGACAGCCGTTGATCGTGAACGCGAGCGTGAACGAGAACGTGAACGCGAGCGAGAACGCGAACGTGAACGGGAGCGGGAACTGGAAAGGGAACGTGAACGCGAACGTGAACGCGAACGTGAGCGAGGTCGAGATCGAGACCGTGAGCATGAAATCTATGTACAACGAGAAGACGACCGAGATCGTGATCGACTTCGTGATCATGACGTTCGCGTCACATCTCCTGGAGAATCTTACACGACATCGTCCAAATACAGGTGAGGTTCAACGCCTTATGAATCAATATGTACGTTTATTGTTGCTTGGCGGCACGAACAGAGAGTACGTAACGCTACCAGCTCAATTTGTGAAGAGGAGCGAGGTCACGCGTGATTGGGTGCTGTTTCAGATGTCCAATCACGTGAATAGTGCGGGGCAGGTCGTAGCGCCAAGTAATAATTGACTGAAAAATGTATTACGAAAGGTATTAGATACTTTTAAGATACGAGAAACACACCAGAGAGGTATCACCTCACGTCATCTCATCACCCGATACTCGTTCGTTTACGCATCCAAGACGGGCCAGCTTTGAAACAAGAGGTAAGACAACTTTTGCCAATAGTTTGGTACTTCGAAAGTTATTTAGTTTGAGTAGTTTAGACCGTGAAATTGAACAGCGTTCACCAGGCCGTGAAGTTTTTGACTCAATAAGAATGCAGTTCGAAAGAGGTGTCCAGTGTGAATCCATCACTACTACCATCTTTGCTTAAAATCATTAAAAACATTCTTTAATCCCCTATCACGCAGCACCTCTTCCAAACCCTTCACCCACCCTACACCAGCACTATTTCATGAGTAGTACGGCATCTGGCACGATTATCGACTTTTTCAGGAGGACAAGAGGCGTATGCAGAGGAGTCACGAAGAGAAAGAAGTCGAGAATTTGCATCTGATCGATTCCATACGGACAGCAGAAACGGTAATTCCCTTGTTCTATTCGAAATAGTTTGGAAGGCCCTCTTGCCCTCTCCAAATGGAAGACGGACAAGACAATCATAATATGTCGCGTTGTCGCGTGCGGCATGTCATGCGGCGATAAGCGGGTAATTCTTGATGTGCATTGGAGCACGAAACTTGTGTGAATTCAAGCGGAGCAGAATCCATGCCGGATAATATAGGTCCTTTCTGCACCTTCAACAATTAATTCGATTATCCAGGCAAGACTACTCGTCCAATCGATCGCGCGGCGTCGCTCGCCACGCCCACCAACGCGGCATACTACGATTGTCTTGTCACATACCCCTTCCAATGCCCCTTTACTCTATGAATTTTCAGGCTATCGTGTAGAATCACCGGCATCGACGTCGACAGGCATTCTGAGAACTGGCGATCGACCGGAATCTCGTTCCGAGAGCATGCGTAGCGTTCAGATACTCCGAAAGACCTTTGGTTAAACCACGGAAAACCTCAGAACATCAGCGTCACCAGCCAAAGTGACTAAATCGAAAACACTTTCGCATGTTGTCATTCATACGTGACGAATACTCTGCTGAAAAACGTCATATTATTTTTTTTCATCCTTCGTTTCATTGTACATCATTTCGAATTTCCTATCGTATTTTTTATCGTACTATGCTCTAATACTAGTCGATACGCTTTTAAATTTTGTAACTCATTTTTCTCTTCAGAAATTTTTTTTCATCGTCAGAAATAAAATTTCAACAAGCTTCTCTGTGGACGAGTTTCATGTCAGGACACATTTGGATCTTACCGTACTGATCGATAAAATCCAACAGCTGATTATTGCAAAAACCCTTCTAAAAAGAGATCTATTGAGAAATCGGCCGCTGTCGCAGGGAGAGAGAGAGCACTGTAACAGTTTCGTTCGCTGCGGATCATGGGGAGCGTCAGAGTGATAAGTTCGGCCCGGTGCCAGCTCGTCTTTTCCTTCCAGTAAACGAAAAGTGTGTACCATATCCTTCGTGGTCGTTTTCCAGCAACTGTTTTCGCTAACCCGCTTCAACAGCTGGTGGAGAGGGGGCTGTCTGCGCGCTAAACCCAGCCTTACTGACCCCCCCCTCCATCATCCGCAGCGAACAAGATTGTACACACACATGGCGTGCATCGCAAAGCAGCTAAGTTCCATAAGGGAGGCAAGCTATCCGGGTGAACTCGTCCGAATCACCTCTAACACGTTGTTAGCGGTAAGCTCGCCTCACCCTTGCGGACCTCAGCTGCTTCAGTGTTGCTAGTGGTGAGCTTCGATAGTGCGTCTTCTTTGAATGAGTTTATATGAGCGAACAGACATCATTCCTAACTGAATGCCTGCCTATGTTTCTAGGCCCTAGGGAGGAGGAGTTGAGGGGAGGAGCGATCTCACATGGGATGAGCACTAAGTGTGCTCATCAGATCTTAGCTCCAAAAGCGAGAAGTCAACTATTATACCACCAGCAAATCGAGCAATTCTTGAGAATTCGTAAAAATTCCTGTTCAGGTGGATCGATCGCCTGCAACCTTGATTTTGGTTCATCCTCGATAGCGTTTTGATGTGCCATTAACTTGTAAAAACTACTACCGGAGACCTATCAAATCCCTTCCCGGAGTAGATCTTCGTTGTAGATTCATCGAGATTCTCTTGAAAAATCAGCTAATTCTTACAGAATCGCTGCACAGGCTCCTGGAGGAAAATATTAAAATAGAAGTCGAAACATCGACCAAATCAACTGGTTTGGTTGTTGACAGCGTTTTTGTGAAGAAATGTCCTTTCAAATTAGCTCAAGAAGAATATATTCCCAAATAGGGAAACACGTCAATTTGGTGGAAAGTGTACAGATCAATATTGATTGCTAATAAACACGAGCTAGGAGCAGGTGGGATGGTGGCAAAGTAATACATTCACATACACCGCTGTAGATCACACCCCACAGGTGCCCACTACACCTTCCGCTACTCCAAGGAGGTCACTTGGTTACCACACATTTTGAAGAAAAACGATCAAAGTTCCCCGTACGCTCATCGTTGAGGATACCGATCCCAACATGTGCGAGATGTTCTAGCTCCACCCACAGGCAGAACACGCCGATGCTACACGCCACACGATCAGGCGCACGTCTAACTTCAAGCAGAAGCGCTATTTGTCTGCACCCTCTTCCGCTTGTTCGCTCTCCACATTTGGCCGCGATAGGCGACTTGCCGCTCATGCTGTTAACGCCGGAACCTCGGCACCGGCACAAGTGTCGCACACTGTGGATAGCGTGTGGAGTCCAAAACAGTACCCAGCTATCACAACCCTCTAGAGTCACTGAGTACGGCTCTCGGTGGACCTTTGGCTATAAAAGTGTGAAACAATCAGTAGGACTGTTAGAGAGATCGGGTCGGATAGTCACAAATCGCTTCGGTCCTTCCAGGCTCCGGTGAATGTGGCACCTCCGAAAGGTACGTAGGCGGATAAACTTCGCTGTTAAAGAAAGCTCGCGAGAGTTCCACAAAAGAAGACTACGCTATTACCTGTAAAGTCATCTTCGCGCATTTCCGAACCATGAAAGCGGTGAACTTCGGCAGCTGCGGATCCACTCCCCTCGCATATGGCATTAATCATTCTTGCTCGTCCCACGCAAAAGCTCGGATGATTTTCAACATTGAGGGAGCATGCGCAAAAGGAAGACGCAGAGAAATCTCTTTCGAACAAGTGGGAACACAGCCGCCAAGCAATGCTGTGGAATTATCCATATGGGTGCCGTCACACTGAAGGAGGTGCGATCAGACTCAGGTTACGATCCCCTGGGGATTCTTTAGCACTTTTTCAAGCGACGAAATGATGCACTCTACTGCGCGATTGCGGACCCGCTCACCTCTAGCAAATCTCGTGGGCTGGTGGGCTCATTCCATTCCTCCTGTTCCAACTGAGTGTGACGAGAGTAACTGTATATGCGGAAGTATGGTCACATGCAGGTAAAATGGCAGCGGTCACATACAACGTGTGCCCTTCCAATGAGCTGGCAACTGATATTCCAATCGAAAGGTGTAACCGTGGGCGAATTCATGTTCCATCTTGCCTGTACTTTCCGCTGAGGTTCCGGATACAACCATGCTTTCCCTTGAAATTCCGTAGACACAGGGAATGGCTAGGGGGAACTGGTGCGCTCAGAGGATCAAGAGTGTGAACCTAAACCTAGAACCCAGGACTCGATGGACGTCTCATCAGTCCACCTCTAAAACCTGAAAACCTGAACCAAGAATCGTAACCTTTTCCTGCACTGTGTTCTCTGAAAATCTTCTCTGGTCTAGGACAACGCGGATCCCGTAATACGATGATGCAGCGCCCGCCCATTCGCTTCCGTTTGAGATGTTGTTTGTTCCTAAACTGGGTGTGTTTCGTACCTATAGACCTTCAACTTACGGCTACGCTCGTCGCTCTCAATTATCGGCGACAGTCGTCGCTTCCCGGGTCAGACAATAGTGAAAACCGGAACTCATTGCTGTCCACTAAAGATCAGCCCAAATTAGAGTATGACTCAAAAATTCAAAGGCGGTCATCAAATTAATCGCAAACGGTACTGAGAATATAATTTCTGCGCGGTCCGGCGAAGCGAAGTAGGGCATTTTGCCACTTTGGGGCTGCCTCACTATGTCCCAGTCACAGACTCTCACTCTGGTGAATCTGAACTCTTGTGAAGCTGGAATAAGCTCCTCAAGCCACCGCGATATATGGTACTTGTACAGTATTTCAGGTAGGGTTGACAGGTACTCTTACAGGAGTTAATAGGTAATATACGCAAACTTGGGCTCACTTCGTGACTTCACAGGTCTCCACTTGATGGCTCAACACGGGGAACCAGCCAAAAGGGCGAAATGCCTCCTCTCCACGTTCACCGGCATTGCCCCGCCAACACTTCCTATTTCATGTAATGAAAATGGTGAAGGATGTAGTTTTTGGCATTGACAAATTCCTCCGTTTATCTCCCACTTCCATACAGGATATTTATGGCATTTTGCCCCTCGAATGCAATTTAGCCCAGACAGTGACCTACGGATGATACTCATTGTGCACGTCAGTGCTCTATTTCTCCACTAGGTTACATTCCTCGGGACACATACGATCCCAGCTCCGCAACATAGGCTTGACCCTGGTTTCACAGCACGGAACTAAAGCCGGAACACTTGCCCATGCACCACCTCTGGACATAATGCCTGCTAAAGGCAGTTTGGCCACGATAAATCTGCTGACGACGCAGTAGCGATTAATACTTGCGTGCAGAACGTGGATTCTGCACCCAGACAGGCGGTTCGTAGCGCCCTTTCAAAGGAGGTACCTCTTGTAGCCGTCCTGCCGAGCCGTTAACGTGCCGCACCCACAGCCCACGCTCCGCCCGCCCCTGAAATGGACGACGCTCGTATTGTTTAATTTGTTAAATAAAATATGAAGTGAAGGGATTGACATGAAGCTGCCGCAGTGCTGCAGAGATATATGAGCACATACGTGCAGTCGTACCTACCGTAGCGGCTATGGGCAAGATCCTCGAGGGAAACACGGCAGTCAGACTCCTTTGTATTCATCAAGAACAAAGACTTTTCTTCCGCTTAGGCGAAGGCCTTTTCTTTCGCAAAATTTTGGCCGTTCTCACTTCGCATTTTCTTTCCTTTTCTCAAACTATGTAGCACCGCTGCTAGCCATTTTAGCGAGTACCGAATTTATTTTGCGCCGTATGCTTTGAAATCATAGAGGTGAATGGAAGAAAATGACCTATAAAGTCACTTGGAGCAGTAAAAGTCAGTATTTCAACTTCTCAAGTATGCCGAGTAATAGCTTACTAAATCAGGTGCGATTATAGGTTTGGTTAGGATACAGCAATTGGCTTTCGGCGTACGCTCATGGTAGTGGCTGGATTTGTTTGCCTTGAGGCAGAACCACAACATCGGACCCCCTTCACTCCAGCTGCAGTAGCTTGAGTAGGTGTCGGGCAACTACTACTAACCCTAGGCGGTACTGAATTCCACAAAGAAAGAGGATCGAGTTGAGGTGAGTAGAACGAAGATTACCTGGAAGATATATATCATGTATATATGTCAAAAATATACTGGAAATGAGTCGTTTTTAATTGGCTCCGTCAACAATGACTTAGGGGCCTCTACCAGTAAAAGCAGAAGTGGCAACCGGAAATGATTTGTGATAATAGCTCTGGCACACACAAAAACCGGAAACAGAGTTACTCCTTAGACACTTGCGAGAAACTTTAGCGATTTGTGAGAGAACACAATCTAGAGATTCTTGGCGAAGCTTTGCTAATCGCCTAACGAGAGGAAACACCCCCCCCCCCCTTTTTTTGCTGCGACTCAGCCTGGAAACCGAGGTTCCCTTCCAGGCAGATCTGTGCCTGCTACAGGACAAACTTACCGTGGACTCCATAATTCTTCGGCCACGCCAAACTCATCGTACATAGAAGCTGCAGTCATT